AAGATAAGGAAAAATAAAAGATAAAATAAAATAAATTAAGATAAGGAAAAATAAAAGATCAAATAAAATAAATTAAGATAAGGAAAAAAATAAAAGATAAATGAAGATAAGGAAAAATAAAATAAATTAAGATAAGGATAAAGGAAAGATAAAATAAAGTAAATAAAGATAAGGAAAAATAAAAGACAAAATAAAATAAATTAAAAGAGGAGATAAAAAGAGGATAAAGTAAAATAAGATAAGGATAAAGAAAGTTATATATAGTGTAGTATATATAATTAAACATACTATACAGTCATATAGTAAGTAAAAATACACTGTATACTTGCTGTTTATAGCATAACTTTACAATAAAATATAGAATATAATGAGACAAATATTAATAGGGACGTACAATAGCATAAAATATATAAACAATAATAAGAGTATAGTGGTAATATGTGGTAAAATGTACTGCAGAAAATCACTTACCCTGCATCCTGAGCTTCATGTGCTCGTATTACAGACAACAGGTTATTGTTCATCAGGAAGTCACATACTGCTGGGTAACTGAAACCACAGGAGAAGAAGAAGAAGAAGAAGAAGAAGAAGAAGAAGAAGAAGAGTCACACACTGCTGGGTAACTAAAACCACAGAAGAAGAAGAGTCACACTGCTGGGTAACTAAAACCACAGAAGAAGAAGAGTCACACTGCTGGGTAACTGAAACCACAGAAGAACAAACACCAGCAGATGATGATGATGATGAGGATGAGGATGACGATGAGGATGAGATGCCAGCTTGACAAACAGAGACAGGATGACAGCTTCATTTTTATTGCCCAAATGTTGAGGCAGGATGTCTCCTCCTGCAGCTCGGCTGTCTCTCCGTCACCTCGGTTGCCATGACAGCTGAGCAGGCTGCTTGAACTCGAGTATAACAAGAGATGCTGAAGGCGCTAAAATTAGAGATCAATTAAGGTTGAGGCTGTCGACACAGGAGGTTACATGTGATCGTCACAGAGCGGAAGATTCGCTTCAGTGATTGACTGATTCTGTCTGGAGAGACTTTTTGACTGAGTCCATCAGGACGCAAGTATTTCTTCTTCTGTGGTGGTTTCAGTTAAACATACGTGACACTACGTCTTGAAAAGCTCTGATTCAAGTGAACAAAGCCTCACTTCAGTTCATTCAGTTGGCAGCTCTGAGTGTTTCTGTGTCGGTACGAAGGTTTTGTTTTTTAGTGTGACATCAATGTCCGTCTGTCCGCCATTTTGTTCCAGACTGAAACATCTCAACAGCGACTGAATGGGTTGTGATAAAATGTGTTTCATCATTCATGTTCCCATCAGGATGAATCGTAATAACTTCCTCTGACGTGTCATCTAGCGCCATCACCAGGTCAACAAATCAACCCTTTCAACTCTGCAACACAAACGGCCCTCCAGTGCCTACGTTGGTGTTTTTGTTTATCGTGATGTCAAAGAAAAGACATCTTCAAATGCTTCACATCCCTAAAATCTACACAACCAAACCATGTTTGCACAGCACACAAGGTAACACAAGTTAATGATGGGGCAGACAGAGGCTTTGTTAGCTTTCTGCTGCAAACAGAATGAATGTTCTTACTATTTTGGATCTTATTTTAAATCTATATAAACTGTCTGTTTTTAAAGGGTTAATGTGTCCTGTACTTTGGTTTATGACCAAACACCTGCAGAACTAACCACATTCCCATCAGCCTCGGTGTGTACTGATAATTAGCTAATGTTAGCATGCTAATAGGCTAATCTAAAGGCCCTGACACACCAAGCCGATGGTCGGCCGTCGACCAAAGTCGGGGCCGTTGGTGAGCGTCTGTCACCCTAGTTTTTGCGGTGTGTCCCGCACCGTCGGCACTTCAGCATCGGCAGCTTTTCGGCCGATTGAGCATGTTGAATTGGCGGCGGCGGCTGTTCAGGTTTTATTTCCTCGCCCCTGTAGCGAGTGAATCTGCCTGTAGTGAAACCGGGGCTAACCGGTGCTTCCTCCTCAGGCTCCACTTCACTCAGCTGCCCCACAGACCCGCTGCTTCTTCTCACTTTAACCTGAATAACAAACCGGAGCTAGCTGGGAGCGGCTAGCGGAGCGTTAGCCGCAGCATGACCGGAGGGAAGCACAGCCAGTTAGCCTCCGCTAGTCTCTGAGCTAGCCCCGGCTCTCCGTTTGGATCCAACCGGAGCACCGAGCCCTGGTTTGTTATTCAGGTTAAAGTGGGAAGAAGCAGCGGGTTTATCGGGCAGCTGAGTGAAGTGGAGCCTGCGGAGGAAACACCGGGACCGTCTGGATGTAATAGTCCGTGGAGGTGCTGCGGTGCTCGGCTGCACAGATAGGAAACCCCTCGGCTGACAGGATGTACCACTCTCTCACTCCGCTCTCTCTCACGCAGGCGCAGAACGTACGTGCTACTTGGCCGTCAGATGTAGTCCGTGTAGTGTGTTCAAATGCAACTGACACAGGGCGACGTGAGGCGACGTAGACGACGCAACAGTTGGCTTTCTTTTCTGCTAGTTCTTTGATGTCAGTTTGGTGTGTCTGTCTGTACCATGAGGAGGCTGTGCTCACTGACACATCTATTAGAGACACAGTGGATCATTTAAACGTCCTGCTACTGAAACAAACCGCAGCAGTTGTCCCCGCACTGTGACCTTCATGTGGTGTCAACAAATTCAGTCCAAATATTAAGACAGAGCAGAGAATGCTAATATTTATTTTCAGTATCTGTCTGACAGCGGATTTAAGCGGCGCTCACTTATCCAGAGATAAGCCATTGTTTGTAAAAGCTTTAATCAGCTCAGATTAACAGACCAAGCTGCTTTCTGTCTCTTTTTTTTTTTTTAAATGTGGAAACATGTGCAGCAGCAGCAGCAGAAGAGTCGGACAGATGTCCTACCTGTAGAAATAAGAGCAGCCTCTCACACTGTTGTGGCAGAAGTGTTCCTGGGTCTTTTCTGAGCCGTAGTCCTCCCCCGGGTCCGACCACAGCAGGTCACACATCGGCCCGAACGCCGGAGGTTCTTTAAACCGGTCCAGCTTCACACACACAGAGACACAGTTTAAACTAATGACACACAGTTCAAACATCTCCAGGGACTTCCATATTTACTGTTAAATAACATAAATGACAGCAGCAACTCTTCAGCATTTTTGTTTGTTTCATTAATGTTTTAAATGTTTGAGTTTTGAGTTCCTTTGAACAGAACAATGTGGCTGATACATCACGTCAGTTTCAGACAGGTAGCTGGTGAACACCTCTGTAGATGTGGAGGGTAAATCACAGACAGATGGAGGACAGGGTGGTTTAACTTTTACACATCATAATTAACGTTAGCTCGGTGGCTTCAGGTCAGACTCGTCAGCAGGACCAGGTGTCGTCACTCTGATGTCAAAATAATTAGGGATGTACTGATAGTAAAAGTCTGGACTGATACGGAGGTTTAAAATAAGAATTTTGCTGATACACACGTTTTGTTGTTTGTTCTCTTTTGTGCCACAGAAACAAAGATGTCTTCATTACAAAAAAATAACTGATCGCTTACAATAAAGTCAATAAAGTGCTAAAATTAGTGCTTAAATTAAATTAAGTTAAATATTGACCCTACAGGAAACATCAGCAGGAAACTGTTTACCTTCCGTATGTCATCCAGACAGGTGACTTCAGGGCTCAGACCTCCGTGCACACAGAGGAACTGCTGGTTGAGGAGCGCCGCCAGAGGCAGGCAGTCAAACGCATCCATGCAGGCGTCATATACACGCTCAGAGTACTTTATTTTACCTGCAGAACACACACACACACGTTAAACACAGCACTTCCTGTCAGACCTGCAGTAACGGACACAGTGAGGTCATCAGTTTGCTCATGGCGGAGACGTCTGAAGACAAACAGACAACAGGAGCGTCGGGAGGACTCACACTCCTGTTTGAAGGTGAAGTACTCTGTGAGATGCCGGCACTCGTGGTTGCCTCTGAGGAGGAAGAGGGTGTTGGGATGGTTGATCTTCAGAGCCCACAGGTACAGTACGCACTGCAGGGAGACACAGGGGAGGGAAGGGTTAACACGACACTCAAGCCCCAAACTCAACCATCTGCTGTCAGATATGAAACTAAACATGATGTGATTTTTATTTTTGTGCACAAACCCAAAATTCAATGCTCCATCAGGCTGGACGTGCTGTTAGAGAGCGTCACTGGAGGCATCGTGCTCACAGTGTCATGACGGAGACACTACAACTGAACGTTCTGCATCGTTTTACAAGGATCTGTCCACATGAACACCCAAAAAGATAAATATGGAGACTACGGCTGTGTACTGGCAAGAATCTGCTGATTGGACACATATCAGTGGTTATGACTCAATATACTGCGATACTGTAAGCAAGGTGATATATTTTTTAAATCCCATTTAAGAACTAGAATCACAGCCTTGCGTCCACCAGTCAGGTTTCTCTGACAGTTTTCATGTTCTCTTTGGTTTACAAGACAAGACAAGACGAACCAGGTCGCAGTGACCTTGACCTTTGACCACCAAATTCCCATCAGTTCATTTTTGAGTACAAGTGAACATTTGTGCCAAATTTTGAAAAAAAATTCCCCTCAAGGTGTTCTTGAGACAGACGAGATCACAGCAACCTTGACCTTTGACCACAAAATTCTAATCAGTTTATTCTTCAGTCCAAGTGGATGCTTGGGCCAAATTTAAAGAGATTCCTTCAGGTGTTCTTGAGTTACTGCATTCAAGATAACAAAAAGGTCACAGCGACCTTTGACCTATGATCACCAAAATCAAAACTGTTCATCATTGAGTCTAAGTGGACGTTTGTGCCAAATTTGAAGAAATTCCCTGAGGTATTCGTGAAATAGCATGTTCACAAGAATGAGCAAGATGAGGTCACACAGACCTTGACCTTTGATCTCCAAACTCTAATCAGTTAATCATGGAGTCAAAGCGAATGTTTGTGCCATATTTGAAGAAATTTCCTGAGGTATTAATTGAGATATCACGTTCACAAAAATGAGAAAGATGAGGTCACACAGACCTTGACCTTTGACCTATGACCACCAAAAACCAATCATTTCATCGGAATTTGAAGAAATTCCTGAGGTGTTCTTGAGATGCTGCGTGGGAGCATGGGATAGACATATAGACAACCCGAAAACATAATGCCTCCAGCCACAGCTACCGTTGGTGCAATGACATAAAAACAAAGTCTGAAATGAACCGTGGACTTGTGACACTCCTATAATAAACTATTTATATTTGACAAAACTCAACAACAACAAAAAAACTTAAACTATACAAACTGCTGACTTGTTTGAATTTGTCCCAACAGGAACATTAAAGGGTTTGACAATGTGACTTTGGGTAAAAACAGGCAGAGTTTCCACTGATTAACTTCTAATGTTATTAAGTCAAAGTTTGCCAGTCATGAGGGACTGATTAGTGACGGAGCGCTCTCTGAACACAGAGACAGAGACAACAAATACAGAGGCATGACGAAAAGTGAAGATCACAAGAAGCAGAACTGAGGTTTCATGAATTTCTCTCACATTTACACTAAAATAATTATTTTGTTGGTTGAACTTTACAGTGAAAATGTGGAGTTTATAGAAACTATCAGAAAACAGAGAAGCTGGTGAGTTACTGTTTTATGTGTTACCACAAGAAATGTGGCTTTCAGAGGATGTTAAAACGTTGGACCAGGTAATCCAGGCGTCACGTACGAAGGACAGAATCAACTTGTAAATGTGAGTTTGTTATCACTGAAGGAGCTTCTGCACGACTGAATGTGACGCACGTCGTACTTTAACTTCCAAACAAACCCACTCCTTTCAGCTGCCACTCAACCAGTCCGTGTTTTTGTTCTGAATCGAACCACCTGTTTCATTTTTCTTTTCTGAAGGCGTCGACGAGGAGCCAGATCTCACCAGCTGTTCATCCAAACTAAACAGGCCTGATCACACACCGACAGGAAGACAAACACTGTATCCTGGAGAAATATCATCGGCTCAGTGTGGGTTTACCTCGGTATCAAAATCTTTACAGACGAAGTGAAATCTGAGGTTTCAGACGCATTTATGCCAGATGTTGAAAAGGTGTAAATATGTGTGTTTCTTAAAGACAAAAATATAAATCTTTGTGTGTGGGAGAAACATGCAGGTCTTCAGTCCTGTTACAGAAATCAGCTCTCCGTGACAGCTTCAGTTATTTCACTACATCTGAACATAAGCTGCCTTTCCACAAAACTTTTTTTGAGCATCTAGTACCCTTAGTACTGTTATCTGTACAGACGTGTACCTAACAGGGATGGGCATTTTAAGTAACTCCAATATTTGAGCACTCGCATTAAATTACTATAGGGTACTTGAGTACTTGCAGAAAAATCAAATTTAAGAATCCGAATGTAAACTGGCAGCACGGTGGTGCAGTGGTTAGCACTGCCGTCTCAGAGAGTTTGCATGTTCTCCCCGTGTCAGTGTGGGCTTCCTCCAGGTGCTCCAAGCCATAAAAAACTCAATGACGTCAGAGAAAATTAGTTTATTGTGTTAGTCCGACTTAAACCAGACTTTTAAAATCCCTGTAAACATGTTAGTTTGACTGAAATCGTACTAAATTGAATTTCTCACAGTCTGATAATGTGACTGACTGTTGAGCTCCTCCTGCACGTATACAGTCAATCAGACCCAAACTGGCCGAGGCGCTCTGAGCATGCTCCACAGTTTCCGCCCCGGGCTTTGACCCGGAAGTCCAATAGCATTAAATGTGTAAGAGAAGAAGTAGCCGGTAACAACATGGAGAAATCTACATCCAGAGCCATGACTTTTTGGACGGACCAAATGTACAGAGCTGTAAAGTTGTCCACCATGTTAGCAGTTAGCTGCTAGCTAACCGTAGCTAACTTGTTTGTCCATTGTTTGGTCTGTGACGTAATAGGTCAACAGGAAAAAGGTCCAATACTAACAAGCTGAAAGGGGGCATATCTCCACCTATCGTAGAGGAGTCGCACATACTTGGCTCAATAAATGGATTCCCCTCCCGTGCTTGTATACTGGGACAAGGACAGTAGTCGAGCTGGGACTGTGGCTCCACTTCACTGTGACTGGAGACGGACTGAGTCAGAGTCACCGGTTAAAGAGGCTGAAAGTGAGCAGTAGAAACACTAATTCAAGTATCTGGTAAACAGCACTGATATATGATTGTGTGACTCTGATCCAGGTCTGTGATGAGTCCTGAAGTGGAACATGACAGTGAGAGCAGTGACACGCAGCCGTCAGGTAGTCTGAGGCTGGAAAACGTGTCTTTCTGGAGATAAATGACTTCTAAATTAATCTGGTTCAATGGAGCATCTGCTACTCTAAAATGTATCTGACCCTGATTCTGACTGCGCCTGTCAGACTGCGGCCCGACACTGTTCCAAGATATCTCCACTCATCCCAACGAGGAAGCATGACAGCAGCCAATGAAAATGTCACGCCGTCCGCAGCTACACGAGAAGACTCCCTCCAGAAAACACACTCAGTCCTTCCCTTGGTTTGTTTTAGAATGGGACACAGACAACATGCGAGGCCTGTGTGTGCACATACACTTTGTGTGTGTGTGTGTGTGTGTGTGTGTGTGTGTGTGTGTGGGTGGGGCGCAGAGGAGGCAGACAGTGTGCCTTTCATTTCCTACGACTATTTAAAGAAGCTCTGCTAAGCCGAAGCTGAGCGACAGGCCGCTGCTCCAAATGTCAGCTGAAATGGCAGAAACACAAACATGTGAGCGGACGGGTGTCGCCTACCTCGATGCTGAAGTACCCTCGGTCCACGTAGTCTCCCAGGAACAAGTAGCGGGTGCTGCTGGGGGATCCGCCCACCTCGAACAGCTTCATCAGGTCAAAGAATTGCCCGTGGACGTCCCCACACACTGGACACACACACAAACACACGTCAGATTAATATCAAAGGAGGTGTAATGCGTCTTTCTACATGTTAGTCCGTCCCTAATCACTGTCTGACTTCCTGTCTGTGTCTCTCAGCTCTATTGGTTACTACTGAAGATGTAAATCTTTAAAAACACAAAGTAAAGTCACACATGCTCCAGTCATAGAGGTTTGGATTTATTCTGACAAGGTGCAGCTCCTGATAGAGTTTCACATTTGTCTGTTTTTTTATGTGACTAAGCAACCAATGAAATCTTGCAGACTAATGACCTTTCTGGTCGACTGTTGGGGGGCAGCCCTACTAACTTCCGATGCTGCTGCTGCTGCTGACCAGAGGGAACTTAGGGCCCGTCCCAATACCCCCCCTTGGCCCTACCCTACATTTGCGCGTTCCCGCGAGGGGTAGTGGTGTCCCAAATCCTTTTTGCGTGTAGGGGTAGGGGGCATAACGAGGGGTAGTGGGTGTGAAACTAGCCCTTTAGAGCGAGGGATTTCAGATGCTGACTTGCCAGCGAGGGGTAGACGTCGCCATGGCTACCACCTAGCAAGAGAAGGGGAAAAAAGTTCATACATAGCTAACGTTACCATCGTCAGGTTGCTTGTTAGCTAGCTAGCTAGCTCGCAGTATCTGGCGTCTGTCATCTGTCCTGTTCTGCAAAATTGTCTGAATTTTCACATTACGATAACACGCCAGCTAGCATAACTATGCTGCCTCGTTATGTTAGCTGCTTAGCTAGCTAGCAGAAGTCCCCTGTTGTCTGTCGTCTGAGGTCTCTCTTGTAAAAGAGATTTTCAGTCTCAGTGGAACTGCCTGGTGAAATAAAGGTAATAAAATAAAATATAAAAAAATGTTTGGAGTTTTTTCCTAAAGTGATTATTCAGCTGTCAGAAGAGCTGCTGATTAATTTCCTGTCAGTCTGCTTATTGGACCACTGAAGAAAAATGATGAATTCATTGATGGGTTTTTTTTTTTTCAGACATTAGGAAAGAAAAACATGAAGATATGGAAACAATAAGTAGGGACGGTGCAGGAGGAGATAAAAATAGTCGGAGGGCAGGAGGGTGGAGGGTTGGATACCTCAGCTGAGCCACATGTCGGGGGGGGCAGCTGTGGAACTAGACCCAGAGTCTGGCACTGGGGGGAAACCCTGAGACCAGGACGTAAAGGTGTTGTTACCTGTGATGGGAGCCTCCACCTCCAGCATGCATTTCTCCTGGCGCAGGATGCCGGCTCCCTCGTTGATGATCCGTAGAGCCGTCTCCTCCTCCAGCCGGCCCTCCTTCACCAGATGGGCCTTCAGCACCTCCACGCTGGGCCTCCCGTCCACATACAGGTCTTTGACCGACAGGCGTGTACCGGGAGGATATGGCACCGCTACAACACACGCAGGAGACAGATGGGGAGAGTGAGATACACACTGACGTCAGCACACACGCTGTAACACACACACTGAAAGGCTGCTCCGGTTTCTACAGTCGACTATTGTTAAAGCTTTAAAAGCACAGGAGACGTTCCCAACAAGGACACAGAGACACAGAGACACAGAGCACACTCTGTAACAACAAACTGATCCTGGTTCAGTCCGTCTGCTCTGTGGACAGAGTTCAGCCTCCTGCCCAGAAGGCAAACAGAGGATCAGGCCTGCAGCTAATTAATTACTTTCATTATCGATTCATCTGTTCGGTTATTTTTTTTAATCAACAGAAACACTGTCTGGACTTCAAGAACTCAGAACATATTTTTTTTATAAGCTTGCTATGCTATCATTACACAAATATTCTCTTGGATAATTTATTAATCACTTGGTGTATTTACCTCAGGGCTCGTTTATTTTCCCTTTACCTACAAAAAAGATACGGAAATAGATGCAAATTGAATTTTTGTCTATTAAAATGTTTTGAATTTTCATCAAAACATTTTGAAATTTGGTTGACAAAAATGTTTTGAATCTTCTTCAACTAAAACATTTTGAATTTTCATTGACTTAAATGTTTTGAATTTTCATTGACTTAAATGTTTTGAATTTTTGTTGACTTAAAAAAGTTTTGAATCTTCTTCAACTAAGACATTTTGAATTTTCATTGACTTAAATGTTTTGAATTTTTGTTGACTTAAAAAAGTTTTGAATCTTCTTCAACTAAGACATTTTGAATTTTCATTGACTTAAATGTTTTGAATTTTTGTTGACTTAAAAAAGTTTTGAATCTTCTTCAACTAAGACATTTTGAATTTTCATTGACTTCAATGTTTTGAATTTTTGTTGACTTAAAAAAGTTTTGAATCTTCTTCAACTAAGACATTTTGAATTTTCATTGACTTAAAAAGTTTTGAATCTTCGACTAAAACATTTTGAATTTTCACTGACTTAAAGTTTTGAATCTTCTTCGACTAAAACATTTTGAATTTTCACTGACTTAAACGTTTTGAATTTTCACTGACTTAAAAAGTTTTGAATCTTATTCAACTAAGACATTTTGAATTTTCATTGACTTAAATATTTTGAATTTTTTGTTGACTTAAAAAAGTTTTGAATCTTCTTCAACTAAGACATTTTGAATTTTCATTGACTTAAATATTTTGAATTTACGTTGGCCTAATTTTTTTGAATTTTTGTTGACTTAAAACGTTTTGAATGTTCAACTAAAACATTTAGATTTTTCTTCGACTAAAGCATTTGGAATTTCGTCGACTAAAATGTTTTGAATTTTTGTCAATTAAAATATTTGGAATTTTTGCAAACTAAAACGTTTTTTGTGGACTACAGCTATGAAAGATAAAAAAAAATGACTACAAAAAAAAACTAGTAATCATTTTCGTCTCAAGATTAAGACTAAATCTAAAATAGCTGCAAAAATGTACTCTGCACATATGATGATGATGATGATGATGATGATGCTCTATAGCTAGTCACTATAAGTGATGTGAAGGCAGGGTTAGCTTTAATAGAAAGGTGCTTGGTGTTACTGTTTGGCCAGAGGCCAAAAGGTGAGCCACAGTCAGCTGTACGGGGGCGGTAACAGTAAAACAGAACACGTCTCTTTGAAAGTTCTTTTTGTGAGATTTACTTGCTTTTCTTCCATTGTCATAAACTGATTTTTTTTTTTTTTTTGCTTTGGACTGTTGGTCTGAAAAACCAGACGTCGTCACCTTTTGCTCCAGGTGACAGTGGGCGGTGATTTTCACTGTTTTCTTACCAAACAATGAATCAACACAACCTGATCACTGTAGTCGTGGCTGTGATGTCACCAGAGCTACAGTCTGTGAGTCCACACTGACTTTAAACTGATGTGTTTAACAGACCGCAATATCCGAAGATTTAATGTGGGTTGTTTTTTTTTTTTTTCCAATTCTGCAATCGTGACGGCGTGTTGAGGCTCGACCTGAAGACAAAGGAGAACAGTTTGGCAGCACAAAGCAGCCCCTGGAGGAAATACCAAACAGATTAATACCTGGAAAACACCGACGTCTAACAGAGAAGTACATCTGAAGGACGAGGAGGAGGAAGAGGAAGAGGAGGAGGCTGTGCTGCAGCTCCACCACTGACTGTCTCTAAACTGAAAGCGACATTTTCATAAGTTTACATAACTAATAGTGCCTTAAAAATGTAACGTGTAACTTTAACACATTTAAATGTCTAAAACAACTCAACCAGTGTTATTTATTTACTTGAGTTGTGTAGTTATATCACCTCAGATGATTTCAACAACATTAAAACGCACAGAAATCTGTCATTTTAATCAAAGACATGCTCTGTGTCATATGGTCGCTGTCGTGTCAGCATGGCTGTTGGCTGCCAGAAGCCTTTTTATCCGCTTTTAAGACACATTTTTATGCTTCACTTCGTCGTTTTTATTTATGTGTCTTTACTGAATGTAGGATTTTAGTCAGATGTCTGAATCTTAAATGATCACAGAAACAAGCTGAGCAGCGTCAGTGTCAGCTCGGCTCCAGCCCCTGCTGAGCCAAACAGTGTCTGTGAAACTCTGAATTTGAACATGAAGCTGCTTTATTCAGTGTTTCACTGGTTTAAATCAGCTGGTCTATTTGATTTGGAGAGGAAGAAACCTCTGTGGATAATTCGGCTCATGCTAGTTGTCAAAAAAACTAGAGTTACCATCCTGTGGTTTTATGACTCCGCCCAACAGTCCACCCTGTGGCTGTATGACTCCGCCCACCAGTCCAGTGTCTCTGACAGTCTCCATCCATGTCAGTGAAAACATGGATGCTTCACACACAGAAGATTTATACAATCAGCACAGTTTCAAGATTAGAGTCACCAATTCAGTATCTGACCAAATGTCTCCCCTTCTGTTCCTGAGATATGACGTTAAAACATGATGATGTCACAGTCAAGCTGACCTTTGACCTTTTGACCTTCATTATTTTATCCTGTTAGACATTTGTGTCAAGTTTGGTCAGAATTAGTGAATGAATTCTTCAGTTATGGACAAAAACATGTTTTGTGAGGTCGCAGTGACCTTTGACCACCACAATCTAATTAATTTATTTTTGAGTCCAAGTGGACGTTTGTGCCAAATTTGAGGAACTTTTCCTTAAAGCCCTTCCTGAGATATTGCATTCACAAATGAGAAGGCCATGAGGTCACAGTGATGAGTTAACCTTTGACTACCAAAATGTAATCAGTTCATTGTTGAGTCCAAGTGGAAGTTTGTGCCAAATTGGAGAGAATTCCCTTTAGGTATTTTTTGAGACATGTAGTTCATGAGAATGAGCTGGATGCAAGGTCACAGTGACCTTTGACCACCAAATTCAAATCGGGTCATTCTTGACTCTTACTAGATCTTTTTGCCAAATTTGAAGAAATTCCCTCCAGCTGTGCAGGTTGTGTGTCTCTGAGTGAACGGCCATGTGAGGCATGAGATACTGCGTTCACAGGAATGGGCGACAAATGGACAATCCGAAAACAGCGCCAGTGTGAAGGCATAAAAATCGATACTTGCTGTGCATGTGACGATACAATATCGTTAACCAAAAATTTCACAGTACTACCCTGTATTGATTTTCGTCATTATGCTATGTTACGTGTGGTGCAATACCACGTAAAAACGCACAAAGGCACCAGAGGCATGACTCATGACTCTATCACAGCGTCTTTTCACTCTGCTTATTAAAAATGAGCTAATCTCAAAAATTAAATAATGTACATAGTTCAAACAACTTTTGGAGTGTTGATAAATATTTTGTTTATGTTTCTACATTTAAATTTTTTTGGATCAAAATGTTTCGTGGGTTTTTTCCTAAAATCTGATTAAAAACGTTTTTAATGACAATTCTAATATCAATTTTTATGGTTTTCTAAAATCATTCAAAGGCTGCCCCCGAACAGTCGACCAAACGTTAGTCGAACAGAAAGGTCAACAAGATTTCACTGGTCGCTTACTCACATAAAAAAAAAAACATGACGTATCATGTGAAACATGGAAGTAGCTACATGCCCATTAGCCCACAGCGTCATTAACAGGCGGCTCGCTCAGTGTGTGACGTGCACTTGGAGATAAAATATAGGCCTATATTAATGAAGGTTCATTAGTACGGTTTGTATTTCTCTGTAATGTAGCACAGTGTTAACAATGTTACTGATACTATTCTTTCTCACACCTTCAACTCAAACCACCAAAATATATCATTTTATCATTACATTCATATCAGAAACATGCAGGAGACTAGTCCACTGATGGACCCTGATGAGGACTGTCGGTCCACTGATGGACCCTGATGAGGACTGTTGGTCCACTGATGGACCCTGATGAGGACTGTTGGTCCACTGATGGACCCTGATGAGGACTGTTGGTCCACTGATGGACCCTGATGAGGACTGTTGGTCCACTAGGAACAGTCTTAGTCAGAGGCAGCCCTACATCACTCAGCCCTGTTTGAGCTGTGTGTTCTTGTGCGTGATGTTTCACACAGAAACAAACTGTCACTGAGAAACTTTGCATCTGTTTATACTGACAAATGAAGGTGGATCAAAGAAATGACTGTCGTTTGTTTCTTCTATAAAACTGATGTGATCCTGCCTGTTCCTGCGTCCTGACACCTCATGCACAGACAGTACTTCAGAAGACACTTCCTCCTGTCGACACACAGACACACACACACACACACACACACACACACACACACTCCTGGCCCAGTGGTCTAGTTTAGTGTGCAACTCTGAAACCAAACCAGGTCGCACACATTCAGCCAATCATGTCAGGGCTCCTGAACTGGTTCATCACCAGCACGCAGAGGAAACCAGCCGGCTCAAGACAGACGTGATCGGACAAGACAATCGACTCAATGATTAGTGAGGTCTGCGTCTCTGCGTCTGAGCAGAGGAAAACCAAAGTTGTGAAATGAGGCATCTGTAG